TTCGTTTATCCAATGTCTTAAACTATATAAGTTTCTTAGATGCATTCTCCACTGTTATGATCTGTTCAGAGACCATTCTTGAAGGTGGTTTTTTCATTGAGTTGATATTCTGATGGCCTTCTGGCTTTCTGAAGATCCAAGCTTTTTCTAACACGATTTATTTGGCTTTAAAATTGATGGCCATTTCTTGTTCCTTTAAATATCCAAGTAATGTAAAGTAAGTGCTGCAAGATTTACATACCTAAGAAGAAATATATGTTCATGGGGGCAAAAATTGCACAACTTTGCATGCCCGATGACAAATTTCTTGCCCTCTTCAAGTTAGAGAGGCTGATGTCTGAAGTCTTCATATTAATGCCCTTATCTTGAATTACTTTTGGACACTGTTGTTAATCGTAACTCGAAGTTTGTTCTAGTTGTCTAAGTTACGAGTTGTTAAGGGAGTTTCTCTTCAAGTGGGCTGTAGGATCTGAAAGGGCCTTTAGGAAGAATGGTTATATGAAAATTGTAATGCTAGAGCATCCAAATTTCTCTTGCTAATTACAATTGCATGTAACCATCTTTTTGACTTGTTTATGGTGGACGAAGGGGGCTAATTTGTCAGCCTATGTATAGTGTTCAGTCACCCGATATAAAATGCATGAAAAAAAAAAAGAATTGAGGAAAAAAGTATTGCATACATGTTAGTGCTACCAAATAAGAGGACTAGAGGACCACGATATTCTAACCCCTTTACAAGATAAACTGTGGAGTGTCATCTGGTTTGCTTTATCGATTAACAAAAATTTAAGTATCCAAGATATTAAACTTAAGCTCTTTTACCAATTTATCCTTTCCTTTCACGAGCATATGTTAGTTTCTTTTACTGGATGTTCTTTTCTGTTTTCTTTTAAAACTGCACCTCCTAGTGAGTGAGTGAGATCCTTAGCATGGGCCAGGTTAGCTTGATTCAAGTAGATAAAACTACTCGAAACTATCAACAGGTTCCTCTTTGTTTCTGTACACTTGCTTTGTGGCTACTCTGTACCAAAAGATAACAAAGACAATAATAGATCTTCATTTAGTGACTGGCATGGAATGTGTTCTTTGTTTCTACTTAGGGATGCCCCAAAAGATTGTACACTTTTGGAATGTAGAGTTCTTTTACTCATGCTCATTTCATTTATTATTTAACCTTATGAGGTTTTCCTTTTTTACTTGTGCACATACAGATTGAAGTCCATGGCTGCGCCTGGGAGTTCAATGCTTTATTCCTTTCTTCTCTTTGTAGCTGTGCTTTCCCTGCAAGAAATGTACAGAGGAAAATTAGCATCTTCTGAGTTGTTCACTATACTAGGAGGGTTTTCAAGTTCCCTGATATTTCTTTTACTGCTTACGGTATGTCATCGTAGTCTTGACTGGCTGCCATTCTGTTGGAGGTTACTCCTTTGAGGATGTGTATGTTGTCATACGTATGATGTCCCTTTTTGTTGTTAGTCTAAGTATATGGGTAAAGATCTATATTGAAAGACCCGGGAGTCCAGACCAGAATTTACTTTTTGTAGTTGTTTCTACTACTTATAGGCCAAATTGTGTGCAAGATGTAGCCTTATACTCTTTTCTGGATGTTCCTATGAGAGTTGACCCTTTTTTCCTTGAGAAAAGCATTAAATGTGTATCGACCTTTTAATTGTATATCATAAATAGCGCTTGAAAATATTCTTCCACCCAGAATTCCTTGCTGGATATTTTGTAAAAATTTCCTGGAGAAGTAAGTGTTTTGGTCCTTGTTGAGCTGTCTTATTAATAGTTTTTCTGAAACTTTGGCACTAGTGATGAAAGTTTCAGTCTGATGTTTCAAGTTCATACATAAATGTTTGAAAAGTAATTATGTTTGTCAACACTTGTCCATTTGAATTGGTAGTTTTCATTTCACTTGCTTTGAGCTAGATACTATACGTCTTTGATCTATGTTCCAGACATGGTACCCTTTTCTGGTATCTATCATCATGCATGGAGAGTTCTCTGTTGTTTTCCTTTCTTATTTTACTCCTTTATCCTTGTTGATTTTTTCCCGGAATAGTATAATTCAGTTTTATGCTAATTGGAAGTAATGCTTACAGATGTATTTTTACTTGAGTTTGCCTTTATGACGGTGTAAGAACGAACTTCATGGCCTGTTGGTATTTCTTGTACAAGTTTCGATTTTTGGTTTATGCATAGAGAATGGATTAGATTGGACATCGATAATGTTGATGAGTAAAATGTTCTCTCTTCAAGTATTTTGGAAAGGGTATCTTGGTTTTGTATAAATGGGAAGTGAACTATGCTATTATTTGTTCTAGGGATTTATTCTTTTCGAAATAAGCTGTTTGGACTTGTCCTCCAACATTGACATCTAAATAAGGACACAAGAAATAACACCTGTTGCATACACACATATACCCTATAATTTTTGTACTAATGTGGATAATTGCATAAGAAACTAAGGAGCCCATTTAAGTTTTGTTTTTACCCCTGTTCTTTTACTTTGAAAAATGTTTAGATGTCTTCTTGCATACATGTTTATTTGAGTTTTCTCTTTGGTCTGCTTAGTAAGTCCTTCTACACAAATAATTTTCGGTTGCGAGACATTTTGCATTCTACAAACAATCTGTCATACATTATTGTATTGCATTAGACTTTATTACTCCAACCTTTCTCTGGCTTCTTGGTTTAATTCGTTTAAAGAAGCGTGTACAGAGACAAATGAGGAATATGCATCCAGATTCATGACTTATTTGGTGATAAAATGTTTGCGACGATTTTGGGAGTTTATACTTGGTTGAATTTTATGCAGTTCATTGGAAATTATCAAGAAACTAGTGGTGTCAAGAGCGGTTGGGGTGCAGGTGAGTGCAGTTTTTCCTTTCTGAAACATCCTTTTCTTTGCAGTCAGTATTGAAAAGTTAAATTTACAAGGTTAACTTTGATGGACAGGAAAAAATTGTTCTTTTATTTTTCCCAAATTGGTCTTTTCTCCCACCTGCATGTATTGATAGATTGCAGGAAGTGGAGTATCAGATAGAGCAGTCAATACATTAGTTTGCTTGCTTTTGTTTTGCAGTTATATTTGCTGAGGCAGTTGCACTTATCGCTGCTAGCACAGTTCATCGAGTTTGTATCACAACTTGGTAATGTTGAGACTTCAATACTGAATATCTTCTGTGCTTTGGAAAATGAGCACCCCAGGGTCTTTGCAAGCACTCATGCACAGATATCATTTTCTGATTACAGATAAAACTGATTTATTGTTAAAGGACTAGCTGTGTCAGGTTGAGATTCATTCTGTGCAGCACTGCTTAGAAATGGAAATTACAATTTTCCTTTAAATTTGTTAAGCTTCTTAGTGATATAGTATTTTTGCTTGAATTTTGATATAGTAATCAGCTTCAGGTTAGATTTTTGTAATAACATGACACGCAATGGGTTTTTTTTCTTGTCTGCAAAATGATTTCTGGAAACCATTATGGTCATTATCTAATATTGCAGATGGTTCAAGTTAGCTAAATATGTGAAATGTGATTTATTTGCTTTCTGGATTGCATGGAAAAAGATTTTTCTCAGGACTGTTAACACAGGAAACCTTTTAGGAATTATGGATGAAAGCAATAACATGACCACTATTACTTTTAAAGCCAAAGAGAAGCACCGATAGATAAGGGGGAAAGAAACCAATGACGTGCTTTTGATACTGTTGCAGCTTCTTGTTCTCCGCGGGACTGCTATATGAAGTCAACAAGCTCTCCGTAATGATGCTGTCCAAGAGTGAATCTAAATCCAAGAGGTTTTGACATGTAGTTTCTGATTAAACAGGATCTACCGCGAAAAAGTACTAATTTTCTTTTGTATCTTGAAAGTACTTTGGAAATGCATTTAGCTATTCGGCAGAAACAGTTTTCATATATGAGCTATTCACTTAACCAGCTGATGAAACTTAGTAGACTATTTTACACTGGTTAATCTACTGTGGTATTTGTATAAGGGTATGATATAAAGTTTTCTCATCCAAATCTGTGTTGTTACTTTCATACGTGAGCAATTCAGCTGAGCAACGTAACTTGTGCTGGAGGGATCACTTTGATTAGTTTGGTAGTTTTCCATGCGCAGAGGTGGGGTTTTGATTTCAACAGCCTACCATTTATTACTTTTTCTTTCGTTGTCGTGTTGATATTCTCCCAAGAAGAGTGGCATTCAACTTAATATTTCAATTGTCCGTGTCTCTTGCATGTGCGCATTTTGCATTTGACCAAAACCATTGGGTTAAAAGTGTTGGTGATGACTCTATTTATGTGTATCTCAGGGTAAAAAGAACATTATGGTATAGGGTTCGCGAGGGTCGAACCTGGTCTATGGACAAAGCTCTGCTGGCACACAAGATATATCACTGTGACTGTTTAATGGTATATCTGCTTGCAACTGCATATAGTACGAAATAATGTATGGATCCAAAAACGATAATTTGAATTTCAGAATGATTGCTAGAGAGTGCCGAAGAAAGAACAGTCAGCGAATGGAGTGGTGTCTTGTGGATAAAATTGGAAGAGAGAAACTTGATCACTCAGGAATTAATATGCTATTTGCCTTTTCTTCTGGCAATGTTTAGAGGGGACAAGAAGAAAGCATGATCACCTTAACATTTTAAACAGAGGCAAGTAAAATAAAGCTTAGGCTTAGCCACCTCTGAAGATCGACTATTCTAAAGATTTACTGGAAGCTGCGTAATTTTGACTTGCACAGGTCTATGGACTTGTCTCGTTTGATACTTATTTGTTAGACGACTTTAGAGCATTGAAGTTTCTCTACAAATCCAGCCAACGCATGTAAAGTGTATATACATGGGTTTGAAGGGAATTCATCTCTCTCTCTCTCTAAGCTTGACTATAAAATTTTTTAAAAGAAAAGAGTAAATTTTATATACACTGATAGTGTATATATTATCACGGTTAGATATATGACACGTATGTAAAATTTGAGTTTCACGTTCAAATTCGAATTATGTGTTATGCATCTAATGGTGAAAATGTATATACTGTCAGTGTATGGAAGATTAATCTAAAAGGAAATGAAAAACCTAAAGGTAACAAAAGAAAAGTTTCTATATAGATGCAATACTATAAACTGTTTATGCTGATACTACTGTGTCTGATTGCCTCACTTGTGGTTGAACTAATCGAGGATGAAGGAAATGGTGGATGGCTTAGAGGTGCAGGTCTGTCTGGTAATCTTGGGATGTCAATGTCGCCTTCAAGCATCTTTAGAGCATCTGCAATGGTGGGTCTAAGAGCTACCATTACATGAGCACAAAGAATACCTACGAATACAAACCTCTCCATAACTCCCTTTGGTCCTTCCTCTTTAATTGATTCATGAAAAGTATCTTGCACATTTCCTGATTTGATAAGCCCCCAGGCCCAATCTGTGATCAAAAGTGCGGATGAATTTGATGCATCAAGCACCTTTCTTCCACTCATGGTTTCAAGAATCACAATTCCAAAGCTATAAACATCACTCTTCTCTGTCAATTGCCCATAAAGGGCATACTCTGGTGCAAGGTATCCAAAGGTTCCTGCAACCCTTGTTGTGAGATGAGATTCCCCTTCTCTGCTTTGCTTGGCCAGTCCAAAATCAGCCACTCTTGCTTTCATATCTGAGTCCAAAAGTATGTTGGTGGCCTTTATATCCCTGTGATAAATCGCTGGTTTGATTCCGTAGTGCAAATAAGCAAGCCCTTTTGCCACATCAAGTATTATGCTCTTACGCTGAGGCCAAGTCAAAGGCTTCCTCTGAGGATTGAATAGATGATCATCAAGGCTACCATTTGGCATGAAGTCATAAATAAGGTATCTTCTTTTGCCATTGAGCATATCACTTGTAACACAAAAGCCTCTGAGAGCTAGAAGATTCCTGTGTCTAATTTTGCTTATAATTTCTGCCTCATTACTGAAGTCCTCATCCCCTTCTGTGTCTAAATCAAGAATTTGCTTGACAGCAACAATAGTTCCGTCAGAAATAACTCCTTTATGGACAATTGCAGATGCGCCTTGACCTATCATATTCCTTTGTGAGAACCCATCAGTGGCATTTTCTAGCTCAGATACCTGAAACCATTTAGCACCAATGCCTGGTAGAATTTGGGATATCATGCCGCTAACATATTTTTCATGCACTGCATTTTGTTTTCTTCTCTTATCCCACTTCCTGCAAAGCACGAGAGATGCTGTCACGACCGCGATTCCTAAAAGAGAACCTGATAATCCGAAAGCCAACTTAAGGATTTTTTTGCTGCTCAAGCCGTTTGATGTCTTGCCAATTTTTGAAATAGCCAATGGTAGGCCTAGTATGCAAGCTGCTGCCAAAGTATTATTATTGTCCAAATCATTGACAACACCGGCAGCATAAAAAACACTAAAGTAGAAGCATTTTGTGGAGTTGGGATCTAAAGCTACCAACTTAGCAGTTACCATCATTCCAGCGTCAAGGCATGAACCACACTGAGTAACTCCATGAAAATCACCTTTGCAAGATGAATCAAGCAGACTTGATGGACCAACCTTTTGTACCCAGTCTCTTAATGTTGCAATTCCTGCACAACTTGATGGCTTGAGAACAAGTTCATTTGTGTCGTTCAAGCACATTGGGACTGAAATTTGAGGAATGGACATGTTCATAAGCTTGCTTTGGAAGTTGGAGATGCAAGAAGAGGAAGAATCTGCATTTGGGAGATAGAACATGGATGTTTCTCTGAGGTGTTTGGCTAATCCCATGGCAAAAAGACTAAGAAGTGTTTGGCAGCAATTTTTATCAATAGGATCATGGCAAAGTGAAGTGTCCCATGGGAAACTTTGTACATAAGAAAAATCAATGGGACATGGTGGATTTGCTGCATCAATGAAGCATATTGTGATTGAAGAGAGGAAGACAAGAATGGAAGCTAAAAGCCCATGGTTGATCGCCATATTCTATTCTCTTATTCTCAAAACCATGCAGTCAGTGAATGTCTTTGTGGATTTAAAAGACATGCTGCAGTAAAGCAAGCGATCAACATGACTGCCAATAGAAAATTAAGCCATCAAAATTGGCATCGTTGGTGGTCAATTTTAGGCTGAGAAAGAAGTTTGATTTCTGAAAGGATGAACTGATAGTGGTCAAAGTCGGTTATTCCATTAAACGCACGCACGCCGCAGCGAAGAGTGATGCATGTCAAGCGTGCACTAATTGTGGAGTACTTCTCCGAGCAACTTCTCCTCCTTCACCTTCTCAAAGGTGCCAATGTTTTTAAGCTAGACAAGTGATTGAACCAAAAGTCTTTCAATTTGACAGACCAGTTAGTGGTTGTTGGTTATTAAGACATACAAAACTTAGAATAAAAAAGAGAAAATGGCTAAAAAGGTCATTAAATTATTTGGAATTTCCTATTTTGGTCACTAAACTTAGTATTTATCCAAAATAATCATTTAGCTAATAAAATGGTACATATGTCTTTGGTTAATCAATTATTAAAAACTTTCACTTTTAATAACTCAATTTGTCAAAGTCTATACTTTTCGGTCACCCTTTTAATATTATCTAAAACTAGTCAAAAATTAGATTAGTCACCCTTTAATGAACTAGGATTCGCCAAGTAGTTAGTTACTAAGACTGCTGAAAATTGAAGCTCAAAAGTTTTGAACAATCCATAGTGAACGCAGAAATGGTCTTGTATTACTACTTTTCAATCCAAGATAAAAATAAATAATATAATAAGATTGAAATCCCAAAAATTAAAGATTCTAAATTCAATTTCATCCTTCTTGTTCCCTATTTCTTAAGTCGCATCCTTCACCTACTCAAAAATTTCTTAAAAAAAAAAAGCAAATAATTTAGTATTTGCAAATAATGGAATACTATGAATAGGATATGGAGCAACTTCTCTCAAAATTGTACTCAGTTATATGGTTGAGATGATCTTAACCACTTAGATTTTTTTTCACTACAGGTCGGATTCGAATTTTGACCTACACCCCTTTTTGGTGGTCAATCAGTCAAAAATAATCGTTTCAAATAATTGAATTCAATCACGTTATAGCGCCCTTAATATTTAAAATGACTGTAAAGTTACTAGTTCAGACCTGTAAGTGGATTTTGATTTTGATTTATTTCAGAAAATGGAACGTTTAATGATTAGTAAAATAAGAAAAGCATAAAAAAGACTACTATTGATTCATTGAAAAGTTTTAACCAAAATTTATATTCATTTACAAATTTGATCGATATTCAATTAATTAAACGTACCAAAACTTTATCAAAATCAAAGTAGCAAACGGAAAAGAAAACTCGAACGCAAGCATTACTGGTTTAATTAGTTCACCGATGCCAGATCCTTTGTAGGATCATTTGAAAATGACTTAAGTGCAAATCTGTCAATTTCAGTTTCCAGCAATAATTCCTTCCAAAATTTTGAAGTTTTTTTTTCTAACCTTCTAAATATGTGTGTGTGTGTGTCTATAAATATATATATATATATATATATATATATATATATATTGAGACAAAAATACACAAATAATTGTTACTCTTGCTTGCATTTATATACTTTCTCTATTTAATTTTAGGAATAATATCAGAAACCTACGGTGAGGTTTCTCTTAATATCACATGGCATCGTTAAAGTTTTAAAAATATTACTTACCTCCCTTATTTTTGTTATTTGTGTAACAAAATTTTTAAAAACTCTAAACTACCCTTTCAATTGCTAAACAAAAAAAATTCCTAAACCACTTTGTTCACTTAAAAAAAAATCATGACTTAAAAACAATTTCTTGTAGTACTACCACATCATAATGTTATACCCCATAAAAATATAAAAAAGATATTTGAAAAGAAATACACTTGAACCAATTTAACTCTATATGCTCAAAGCCAAATTCTTATGAACTATTTTTTTTCAACATCTCCTCATTGTTCCAACCATTAAATTGTACCAATCATTATAAAAATTAATTCAAAATAAGTAAATAAATCATACCCCACTTTATCATAATCACAAAAAATAAAAGATAAATAAAATTTAATTTATTATAATTTACAAATAAAATATTGTATAGTCATCCAAAAAAATGGGTAAGAGAGAATGATGGAGAAAAGGGAAAGAGAAGAAAGTGACTTTCACTTCTTTTTTTTTTTTTTTTTGATTTTGACATATATTTATTTGATATGTGAATTATGTTTCAAGTTAGGATTAATACAGCTTTTTTACATTTATTAGGGGAGATAAGTGATATTTCAAAATTCTCAGGTGCGCCAAGTGATATTAAGAGAAACCCCAAGGGAAGTTTTCGATATTATCCCTTAATTTATTTATAGCTTTTTGTATTTATTAATTTTATATTTTAAAAATATGACATTTGAAATATATTGGACACTTGTTCGATAGACCTAATTTTAAAAAAATAAAATACATAAAAAAAATAAAAAAGGGCAGCACCGACACACATTTTGATAAGGTGGCTTACCTACCCCAGTACCCTTTCAAGAACGCAGAAATTAATTAATCCAGAATATAGCAATAAAGGCACGTGAAAGTGAAGGGATCCATATTTATCTCATTGCTTCTTTAGATTGGAATCTTATCTTTTCCTTCCTTGCAGTATGATCTAAGATACAAAAATATATACGTAGATTTAAAATTCTTTAATAGAAAAAATGAATTTTTATACTTAATTTTATCTAATCATGCGATAAGATCTTCGTAAAAAAAAGGGAAGGAATACAAAAAATCTTAGCCATTAAATCAGTTCATCTTTAATTTAAAAAAAAAAACTCTATTCTTTTTCTTTGGGTTTTTGAAATAGGATGGCAATTGTATTTAGGATCCTTGAATCAGAATTTAATATCTACAGTAGATAAAAAGTACGAGCCTATTACTTTTTTTTTTATACAAAAATATATCATATTTTCATTAAATATGAATCAATTACTCATTCTACTAACCAACACAGTATAAGAAAAATTATTATTTTTTGTTTCTCAAAATAAAACAGAATTGATTGTTGTCTTTTAATCTTTTAATTACTATCTTATCAATTAGTAAACAGATGATATTAGTGACTAAATGATGGCTAATTGCTTAGATTATAGGTAAAAAAAAAAAAAAAATCTGCCAAATGCACCTCTGATACGGGATTGTTCTTATTCTATACGTGCCGTGCTGAGTCAGCACGACACCAAAATTAAATTTCGCAGAAGTCAAAAAACTCAGCACGACACCAAAATTAAATTTCGCAGAAATCAAAAAACTGTCAATACGTTCAGCGTTGTGTCAGTCGGAGCCGTGCACAGTCAGCACGGCTCCGACTGACACAAGGCTGACAGCAATGCTTCTGCGTCAGTCCAAGCCGTGTTGACTGTGCACGGCTCCGACTGACAGGACTGACCGTGTCAGCTCAAGCCGTGCAGAGTCAGCACGGCTCGAGCTGACATCCGGGAAAAAAAAATTTTTTTTGGAGATTAATTTTTAGAGTTAGGGTTTAGGATTTTTGGGTTAGGATTTTTTACGTTAATGTTTTAGAGTTGGGTTTTTAGATTTTTAGGTTTTAGAGTTAGGGTTTTTGCATTAATGGTTTAGAGTTTAGGTTTTTGCTGCACAATATAATTGAATATAAGTTATGAATTGCGTGATTTTATGTGTTCCTTTCAAGGCATGCGAAATAGTATTTCAAATTAGGAACAAGTGCCAAAACCCTAAACCCAAAAAAAAAATTTTTTTTCTTTGGAGATTAGTTTTTAGAGTTAGGGTTTAGGATTTTTGGGTTAGAGTTTTTTGCGTTAATGTTTTAGAGCTGGCTTTTTAGATTTTTAGGTTTTAGAGTTAGGGTTTTTGCGTTAATGGTTTAGAGTTTAGGTTTTTAGGTTTTTGCTGTACAATATAATTGAATATAAGTTATGAATTGTGTGATTTTATGTGTCCCTTTCAAGGCATGTGAAATAGTATTTCAAATTAGGAACAAGAGCCAACACTAATTTTAGATTTTAAATTTAATTACTTTAGTTTTCAGTTGGACTTACTCGTATATGCTATGGGGGCTTACATTCATCGTATTAGAGTTGTGTAGGTAATTTATGTTTGGATTAGACGTCTCATCCAAATATCCAAATTTGTTATGTTAAAGGTTGCGTTAAGCAATATGGACCAAGCTTTTGTTTTTATTTTTCCTTTTTTTCTTTTAATATGTAGTTTTAGATATTTTATGTGTTTTAGGCATTCTATCATTTTTTGAAAATTTGATTGTGTTCTTATGTTTACTAAAAACCCAACTCTAAAATATTAACGTAAAAAACCCTAACCCAAAAATTCTAAACCCTAACTCTAAAAATGAATCTCCGAAAATTTTTTTTTTCTGGATGTCAGTCTTGTTAGTCGGAGCCCTGCATAGTCAGCACAACGCTGACAGCAGCTCCGACTGACACAACGCTGACAGCAATGATAGTTTTTTGACTTCTGCGAAATTTAATTTTGGTGCCGTGCTGAGTCAGCATGACACGTATAGAATAAGAACAAACCCGTGTCAGCGGTGCATTTGGCGGATGTTTTTTTTTTTAACCTATAATCTAAGCAATTAGCCCTAAATGATGGACATTCTTTGTAAGCTAATTAGTATTATTACAAGGCAATTCGTGGAAAAAGAGAAAGTAGAATTTCTTTTTATTACTCGCCAATCACGTTTTCGAATACATTTTTTTAAAATTTTCAATTATCTTATTTTCTCGCAAACATGACATCACAAAGAATATGTAAAAAAACCATATGAGAAAATTTTCAAATTAATTTTCAATCCAAAAGGAGTCAATAATATCACTGAATAATTGATGGAAATTCTAACAAAAAAAAGAAAAAGAAATCCCTTGTGAGCTAATTAATTAGTTTTTAGAAGGCAAGGGCATGAATAATTGCGCGTTCCAGCCTGAATCAGAACACTTTGGGTGGCCCACTGCTTAACTACACCTAGAAACGTTGACATCAATACGCCTTTACACGTAGTTGAACGCGTCTACGTTTTCATTGGTGCGCTGAAAAGGTCAATTATACACTGACCCCTGTACTACAGGAAATCTCAAAAACACCACAAAACCCTTTTTGTTTTCATTGGTGCGTTAATTAGTTACTATTATCTTTTTTATATGCATTTACTATAAAAAAAATTGCAGTTCATGATTATTATTTGAAATACCATTTTAAATAATCAAAGATAAATGGTTATTAAATTATCTTCTATTAAAGAATACATTTTCCATTAGATAAATATTGTTATATTTGAAATAGTTATTATCTCATAGTCTATTTAAACATGAAATGGCTTTTTTTTTTTGTTTAT